TTGGTCCTCCCAAATCAGGTTCCCTCGCAGAGGGTTAGGGGCCTTTTTTGGGGTGAATCGGCTCTTGGGCGCTCTTGGGCGCTCCTGGGGCCAACCAGGCGCTGGCTGAGGCATCGGTCGAGTGCCCCCTTGAAGCGTGTCCTCTTGGGCTTGGGTGGCTTTGGGGAGCCTCTGGGGGCCTGCGAGGGGCCTCTTGGGGCCAAGGCTCGAAATTTGAACTTGGCTTTCCTACTCTGGGACCCCTCTTGGGCCTTTGGGCGGGCCGCCCCGGCACTCTGGCCAGGCTGGGGGCCCTGGACAAGGGCAGGCGACTCGCATCGGGAGCCATGGCGGTATCAGCGCGTCCCCGGGCGCTTTGGCACGGCTGCGGCGCCCGATGCGCCGTCCAGCACCGCCAGATCTCCGAGATCACCGATTTATTCTACAACATTCTGATCACCAAGAACAGCAACAACAACAACAATTACTAGCACGTGGGGACACACCGTTCTCACCAGTGCCAGGGTTTTCATAGGAGGCGGGCAATACCCCCACTTTGTGGGGGGGCCGGTTCAAGCTCTACCAAATTTCCAAACGACTCTTCGCCACCACCCACACCCAGCTTCCCGCCCTATGACGTTCGGACACTTCACTTCGTGGCATGCGGACGACCGTGGCTACTATTCAGGGCCCCGCGGCCGACGACGACGGCGTGCGCGCGCGAATGGAACAGGGATGATGGCCCTGGCACGAATGTTGCAGAAGTCGAAAAGTTGCTCGCAAAAGCCCGTTTGACAGAAATGATTAAAAAGTGTTGGGTTTCCTACGAATCCGCAAGAGGGATGACATTTTGACAAAACCATTGGTTTTTTTATGTTTTTATGTTAAATTCGCTACGAAAACTAAGGTTTTGGAAGGATTTCGTCTTGCGCGCGCGAATGTCCACTTTACCTTATCTGTTGCAAGGGATTCTTGAAGTTTGGTTATGTTAGAACAAGAAATGTCCACTTTAGCTTATTTCTTGCAAGGGAAAACCGATCGTAACAACACAACCGGATCCGGACCAACCCGTTTTGCCTGAGACTTCCTCACGAAAATGATGAAAATGAGGCTGCGGCCTAGGCGCGGCGGGAGGGTCGTGCACCAGGGGCCCCAACAATAACTATTCTTTAGAAGTAATAATGTTCAACGACAACAACAACAGCAACACCAACAGCAACAACAATAAGTTTAAGACGGTTCGCTCTTACTGGCACGCTTGTCTTACATTCCGTATAGCCCAACCCTCGGTACCCGCCCATGTCGTCTTCGATTGTACCCCCTTTCGGGGGGAATATCTTGTCGGCCACTGACTGAAGTTCGAAGAAGTCTGGAGCGAGAGCGCCGTTCCTGAGTTCGGGGGCCTGTCTGGCCAAGGGCTCCCTGAATACCTATGGAGAAATATCGAAAGGGAGCCCTTGTCGCCGTGTCCGGGCCTCCACCAACCTGCTTGAATTACGGGAAAGTGTCGAGCGAAAGCGCAGTTCCTGAGTTCGGGGGCCTTCTTGGCCAGGGGCTCTCGGAGTGACTCGTGAGGATGTATCGAGCAGGAGCCGTTGTCGTCGTGGCGGGGCCTCCGCCAACTTAATTGCATTGCGAGGACGTCTCGAGCGAGAGCGCCGTTTGAGTTCGGAGACCTCTCTGGCCAGGGTGTCTCGGGGTAAATTGTGAGGAGTATCGAACGGGAACCGTTGTTGTCGTAGCTGGGCCTCCAAGGGCCCACATTTAGGGTCAAGCCAACGCTCGAGCGGGAGCTTCGTTTTCAGCGAAAATGCAGCCGGCGTCGAGGCGAGAGCGCGCGGAACCGTTTCAGGAGATCAACAACAATTATTCTTTAGAACTGAGTATTCAACAATCATTTTAAGATTGTTCGCCCCTATCTGCTCACGTGCCAATCAATACGTATATCCCAAATCCTCGGTACCCGCCCTTGTCGTCTTCGATCGTACCCCATTGGGGGCATATATTCCTTACTTGCCACGTGCATTTAGTGCAGCCCCTAAAACAAGGGAAGAGAAGACGGGTGGAAAGGGGGAGGGATGATAATGGAGCGCGAGAGAGATGAGCAGGAGGGGGGCAACGAGCAGAAAGCAAGTGGTATAACCAGACGGACAGGTCGGGTGGGCGGACCCACAGCGGGCAGGTCGGGAAGGCGGGCCCAGGCGACCAGGTCGAGCAGGCGGGTTGCTGAAGCGTGGGTCCTGCATGAATCGCGAGGGAATCTCGAGCGACAGCGCGATTCCCAAGTAAATCGTGAGAAAAGCCAAAGCGAGAGAATGATTCCTGAGCGCCGATGGCGCATCGTCTGAATAAGCTGCCAAGAAGTCCCACGCGAGAGCGCGATTCGTATACAACTTGTGAGGAAGTCCAGCGCGAGAGCGCGATCGGGGAATACATTGTGAGAGAGTGTCAGGCGGCAGCCGCTGTTGTTGTAAACCGAGGGCCAACAACACAGTTTGAGCCCCGTGGCTTTCCCTGATCA